CCTTACATTGATATAACATTGTCAGTATTAAACTTTACTTGGCTTTGTCATTGTGTAGTCTTCTTATTCTAATAATCAATAAATAAATGAATAGTAAAGGCTTAAAATTACACCAGAAAAAAACAAAAAACACCAGAATCATCAAAGAACATTCTTCAAGGTACTGTTCTATTTTTTTAAATTCTAAACATAAAGACAACTATTTTTATAAGTTATTAAACAGTCGTTGTTGTTAGTTTTGATCAGCTTCCGCACTAATGCTAACTTAGCTGAGAATTTTTCTCAATCGGCTAATATTTGTGATATTTTTCCTCGTATGAACATTGCAATATGTCAGCACCTGACCAGATTCATTAAGATTTCACACTTTTATCCATTTTAAACTTATTTATAAGTTGCCTTTTTATGTTATTACTGGTTGAATGTGTCATTCTACAACTCCACTTTTTAAAGATTTTAAAGCACTCCACAGCCCTGCAGTTAAGAAGTTTAGTCTAAGCTTTTACTGATTCATGAAATTTGAGCCTCTTGATGGATTTAATTCCTACATGTGATACAGTAAATCATAGTACTGTTTATAGATTTCTCATATTAAATATATTAAATCAAATATTTCAGGGAAATGACTCATGTAGTTGCGCATGTTTTTTCATGAACATACAAAAAAAAAACGAATAATTACACAAAGGAAAAAAAAAAGCAATGGTAAGAGCACATAATTTAACTAAGCAGAGGTTATGGAGGAAAACTGTGATCCTATTTCGGTACAACTGAAGTTTAAAGCTAAATGCAATTTCAAAATAATTGTTTAAGTAAATTGTAAAGGTGAAATATTAAAATTGGTCCAAGGGACGAATCAGTTATGGTCTCTTCTTTTACCACATATCATATAACATAACATAACATATGTGGTATTACACTTCAAAAACTGATCCAAAAAAACAGTGTTTGCCTTTAATTTGACCTGGTAATTATGCTGATCTGTATTATTGCCCTTAGAAAATAAGATAAATATTCTGCAGTTGAAATAGGTTATCTTTTTTCCTCTCTTAAACAGAATCATTTTATTTCACCTTGTCAAGGTTACCCGCTTAATTCAAGGGAAAATACACTTATTTCAAGAATAGAGCTTTACTGATCTCACAATGGAGAAATTAACTTGTGACATTGGCTCTTATAAACAACAGAAGGTGCACAAATAAGGAAAAGGTGCATGAAGTACATACAGTGAACCCAGATATATACAGTGGATTGTAAAAAATAAAGAAGCAGCGATTTAAGTTGACTTATTTATACATTATCTTATTTACAATAGAGTGATGACAGGTAAAGTGTGGCTTCTGGTTTGTTAAATGGATTAATAGTATAGATTATTGCAGTGTTATTATAGTGTTGTGGCATTGTAGAGTCCGATTGCAGCAGAGATGAATGACCTGCAGTAGCGCCCCTTTTTATAAACAGGGTGTAAAAGTCTCACTAAAGGAGCTGCTCACCTTCCACCCTTCAGAGGGTGGAAGGTTTTTTCCATGATGTTTGTAAGCTTGGACAGCATCCTCCTCTCAGCCACTTCCTCCATTGATTCCAGAGCACAGCCCAGGATAGAACTGACCCACCTCACCAGCTTGTTCCATCTCTTTCTGTCCCGCTCTGCGCTGCGTAGAGGAGGGCTGATGCCACCATAGAGCAATAGAAGGTTTTAAGTAGGGGTCTGCTAACTCCAAAAGACCTCAACCTCCTCAGGAGGTGGAGGCGGCTCTGGCCCTTCTGATACAGGGCATTGGTGTTAGTCCAGTTTATTATCGACATGAACACCCAGGTATGTGAAACTCTCATCAGTTTCTATGTCCCACCCCTGGATGTTCACAGGAGCATGAGGTTAGAATCTTCTCCTGAAGTCGATCACCATCTCCTAACACCTAACTGGTTAGGGTTAGGGTTAGGTTCAAAAAAAAAAAAAAGTTCATTATGACGGACCATAAGGGGTTGTGTGTCCCCTCAGACACACAGCCCAAAATGACAGGGTAAAGAAAAACATATTTAAATATATTAACATTTTTGCAGTGTATGTTTTCAGTAAAGGGGCCAGCAGCACTTGGTCCCTGGTTCTAATCTCCACTTATAGAACACCTTTTGGGGGAATTTTATGAATTGGAATTAATGCTGCAATTCAGCTTTTTTCCCCTACCATATTAATCTTTTGAAAGTGTTTTACAGAAGAGTAAAAGTTTCTACTCTGGAAAGATGAGGTCCATCAACAAACCGAACCTTTTTCTTCTTTTCTTTTAGCAATATAGTCTGGCATTCCCTGTCCATAGCTATATGTTTTACATAAAGGCTAAGGCAGTTTATTTTACTGAGGAACTATTGCTGCAGAATCAAGGGCGAAATAAATAAGGCCAATTTGTTTTGTTTCCAAAGATTTGGCCTACTGCCCAAGTTAACTAAATCTTCCAGTAGGAAATCTAGGTATGTGCTTGTTCTGCATCAGAGAAACTAAACCAGACTGTAGTTTTCATTCTGAACTCATGCTGACAGAGAATCAATAGCCTTTACTTTGTTATGCCTCAGGCAAGGTTAGCGAGGCAGCAGCAGAACGTGGCATGTCTAGCAAGGCTCTCAGTATTTTCTCTTTAAAGACTAGTTTGATCACTCTATCTTCCATTATGTTCTCTTTCTTCTCTTTGTCTATTTTTTTCTAAGCTGTTTTTTGTACGGTGAAGCCTCTGCAAGTTTTAGATGTGAAGTCAGAGGAGAATCTGCTTGGTGAAAGGAGGAGGATGAAAGTGGGGGATGGTAGCTTTTTAAAGCGAGTCAGAGCCACTTCAGAGCAACAGAGAGGGGGAGGAAGGAGGGGAGTTAGGGAGGATCGGCTCACGGGGGAGAGAACAGTTCTCACAGTCAGCTGGAACAAAAAGAAAAAACCCTGACCTTTGTGTGTTTGTGTATTGATATGCCTGTGCAATCAGTGGGATCAGGCGCCTCCTCAGAGAATTGGGCAGGGTCTTTTGTCTCACTGCCTTTCCTACATTCAGAAGTGATAGAGCCCTTTTTGAAAGTATGTCCCTGTTTACATGACTCCTTGCAGATTTGAATACAAATGGTCAGTGGTAAGGCTATCCTCATCTGCCATTAAAATTCTATTCTTTTCTATTATCTGATTTCAGCTACCTGGTTAACACTAAAAGAGCAAGGAGCCCTACAGCACACTGGGTTGTCAGCAATATCACAAATAAATCAATAGAAGTTTGTATTTACATAATAAGATAATTTAAGTGGATTGCATATTTGTGGAGTTATTTTATACTTTAATTAGTGCTTTGAATAGTTTATTCAATCAGCAAATTGTTTGTTTTTAGATTCTGTGTATTCCAATTAATGATTTTTTGATTACTAAATTAGAGGATGATTATTTTATCGACTGATTAATCACAGTTAATCCAACAAGGGCAGTGGTGGTCTAGTGGTGAGGGCATAGAGCTTGGAATCCTGAGGTTGTGGGATTGAAACCCACTCCCACATACAGCCACTCTGGCTCTCTGAGCAACACCCTAAACCCCTGATTGCTCCCCGGGCCCCCCACAGTGGCAGCCCACCGTTCCATTAGGGGATGGGTTAAATGCAGAGGTAAATTTCTCCAATGTGAGATCAATAAAGTTCAATTGTTATTATTCTAATTGTTTCAGCCGTCATTAAAGGCATCATAGTAAAAAATGTTTGGGTATCAAGATGTTCTTTTATTCACTATCTTCTGCTTCTTAAGTTTAGTGACACTCAGAAAAACAGTCTTAGACGTGCAAAACCATTACTTCTAAGTGACGCTGTGGGTGAGAGCAAAAAATCGCGATGATATTGTCGCCACATGTCAAAGTGTCCCTTTGCAAGATACTCAACCAGCTGGGATAAAGAAATCAGTCAGTGAGAGCCTTATCAAAGCACCTTTAGAAAAAACTGAACATCAGTGGTTTCAAATAAGATTTTAGCAAACTATTATCTATGGTGGGAGAAAGGATCGGCATTGTATCTTTTTCTTTTAATTGACTTCGACTCTTTAGGGACAAGTTTTTTCTTTTAATAGATTTAATTTCAATGAAATGTTAGAAAAATCTAATTACATATCAGGTTTTTTGCCCAAGATGTATTGAAACTCTTGGGTTGTTTGTTTTAATTCAGCCACCTTTTATCATTATTCACTAAAACAAGGGGAACAATAATTTGCAAGGTAAATTAGATAAAATAAATTACAAGATCCAAGTTTAACATTTGTTCATTTAATTGTGATAAGGGTTACTTTGACCAGAGGGAATATTCAAATGCTTCTATCTCCTAGACTTCAGGCAGAGGATTTAATGTTTGTTGTATCTGAGGGGAAGTTTGTTGTAAATAGAAGAATAAAGGATTTCTTGTAAACCTTTTACTGCAACACCTACACACATTTCTCTCTCTTAACCATTTCCTGTTATGCATCCATATTTTTTCCAGTTCTCTATTGCTAAAACTTTTGTGATTTCTAACGACAAAACTTATTAGCATTCTGCTTCATTACACGTAACTCTTTTATTATTATTTCTTATTTTTTATTATTCCATTTCATTATTATTTGTATTAGTCAACATTTGTCACAAACAGCACAAGTTTCTGCATCTTTCCTTCCTCTCTCCTATCATACGTGCAATGCTCACCTTCAGAAAGGACGTCCCCATATGGACCAGGCCATCTGGACTGGAAGGCGTTGCAGGCATTAAGATGGGGCACTTCAGCTATTTAGGCAGAAATTAGATTATTGAAGGGGTGATTTATTTCAAACCTTTGAGTCAGGCATACGTTTACTGAAGTGATGTTAAACCTTTTTAAACATGGTGTGAAAACAGTATATCCTTCAGCTAAATAAACATCTATCTTCCTCTTTTAAACCATGGACGCTGATTTTCTCCATTCTCTGACTGAAACAGCATAAAGAGTCTAAATCTTCCTCTTTCTTTTTGCTCCGCCTCTTCATCTAGGGATTGAGCTGTGCTTGCCGGGCTGGCGCTTCTCCATGACCATGGTGGCCAGTTTTCTGAAGGTGGGCGGGCAGCTACTGATGCCAGGGGTGGCCTCTCTGTGCCGCCATTGGCCAAATGGGGATGATTGGCAGGTGCTGCAGATCGTCATCATCAGCCCTTTTGTTCTGATGCTGCCATATGTCTGGTGAGTCCCACCCTCTCAACACATCAATCCAGGGTTTCTCACACTGAGCCAGGCAACGGCTTGTACAGTACACACACACCCACATGCACACACACACACACATCACACACACACACACACACACACACAGTATGAAGCAGTCAACGCAGAAACAAAGCTCCCTTTCTCCTGCTGTTTTCTTCTTCATTAATTTCTGTCTTGCTCTTACATCACAGTCTGTTTTCTTCTTCTGTCTAAATATAAGACATCAGAAGTGCTCTGGAACATTGGTAACTCACTGGAATATATAATAACCACTTTTGTGCACTTCTTTTTACACTAGCTATGTTTTTTGTGATGAAGCAGTTCACTTTGTTTGCTAAATTTACCCCCATCCTCAAAAAAATTCTGCATATTTTCTTTTTAATTATTTAGGCTAAACGGGATAAAAACATCACTCTTTGGAGCTGCATTCATCAACTGTACGTTTAAGTAAAAGCAAAACTTTTAAAGTTCAGGGAAAGTTGAACAATATTAATGCATTTTTTTGTTACTACCAAGTCAGATATTCTGAGCTACGAAGTCAAAACAAACAACACAGAGTTTGCTACTTTTTCTTTTAAATGTTTTTTTACATGACAAAACGTTTTTGCAAAGATGCTATTATTTCTATGCTGCCAGTTGTTCTTTTTCTCTATTTGATGAACAGTGGTGCTAATGGTACGCTCACCTTCTCCACATAATACTTAGAAAGGGTGATATTCAACATAGTAAATCTCGTTACAACCCATAATACAACCCTCTCAGTGGGTTTTATTTTATTGTGTTATCATAAAATCCACAGTTTCTCACATTTTAAAGACAAAAAAAGGTTGACTTGTCTTTTATTTTCAGCCAGTAGCTGCATCAGATTATCTTGCCTTCTAGTCACTCATGTCTTACTATTTTCAGTAAACAATTCCTTGACATTTTTGACTGGATCAGAAATAATTGAAAGGTTATTTCAACACATTTTACAAACGTTAAAATCCAGAGAGATTGTTTCTGTTTATACTGAAATAATAATTTAGTGAGAAAGTTATAGAATGCAGCTCTGTTGGAATATAAGCAGTTATAGGGAACCAACAACTCAGACTTTAAAATGTATCTATGGAAGTTAAGCCTTACCTAAATGACCTGTTATATTAACAACATTTGATAACAACTAATCTTAGTGTCAGGGAATCTCTAGGTTTCAACACCATATTTATGGTTAACTCCAGTGTCCTGGGGTCCCAGATAAAGCAGAAGACGTTAAACATGAGTATGAATTTTAACTAGGGATGGATAATTAATTGCATTTGCAATTAGAGGTCCGTGGGAGAGTAGCTTGAACTTTAACTCATTCCAAGCGCAATGCCCTTACCACTAGGCCGCCACTTCCCAAAGCAGGTATTAGCAAGTAGGGTCTTGCATAAGGACCCACACTGGCAGCTCATTCCCCCCAGCTTGGATAAGAACCCAGGCTTCCTTTTTCCTTTTTGCAGGACGGGTGACTTACCACTTGAACTAGCCAGCTGCTAGAATGCAGATCCATGCATGATAGTAGAAGTTAGAGCTTTTTTTTTCATGCAAAGCTCTGCAAAAATGGATGCTGGACAGGCAAACTTTCAATGCCATGAAAACACTGATACCCCTTGAGTGAAACATCTACATGCTTGTGTTTATTTCAAAGGGAAATTACAATTAAATCACCACATCTGTTGAAAATAACTGCAGTTTGGATTTTTGGCAAAATAGTTCAACCCTAATTTAAACAGGGTCCATTAAACCTGTAATTTTTCTTGCATAAAACACAAGATTCACACAGGGTAACTTCACAATATTACTTTTTAACACTCCTTGTTCAGACATTTGTTTCAATACAGGTCGAGTTTTAAAAAGCATGTTTGGTTGGTGCTTTCTTGTCTTTTCCCTTTGCTGTCTGATTAGAGAAGTGGTGCTATGGACTCCCCCAGCCCCCGTCAGGATCACCGGAATAATCACTCAGCCTCTTTAACAGCTTATTCTGCTTTCTGACATTTTTTTCTCTATTTCTAGAATTCAGTACATATTTGATGCCCAAGCAGTAGCTTCATCAACACCTTTCAGAGTTTCCAAGTTTTTTGCTCATCCTCTCATTCTGCAGGATTTTCCCTGAATCGCTTCGCTGGTTGCTGGCAACCCAACACTACAGGCGCTCCAAAGCCATGATGCTGCGCATCGCCAGGAAGAACAAGGTTGACATGACAACAGAGCCCAGTGGAGTTCTTGCAGGTGAAGAGGAGTTTAGCAGATGAATGTTACCAAATTTACCTTCTGCTGCCTCACACTAATCCTTATGCAAGTTATTTCACACAATGTGATAAGTCTAAATTTAAATCTAGACTAAATCTTAGTGCATCTGCCAATAACAATTGTTCTCAATTTATATCAGTCTCTATTCGTTTAATCCATATCATGAAAACATCCTTATCTCTGGAGCAGATAGTTAATTCGCTCATGTTTTAATGGCTTATATCATTTGTTTTCTCAGTCCTAAAGAACAAAGATGGCTAGTGTTTCCAGGCGCAGTGCCACTTTAGCTTCTCTGTGCTAATTCGTCCCAGAGTGTCCATCTCATTAGTTACTTAAAATAGCACTTAAGGTGTGTGTTTCATGTTTCCCTCCAGAGTTGGAGCAGGAGTTACACAAGAAACCTCAGAGGAGCTGCATTGTCAAAATGATGAGCACCAGGAACCTGTGGAAAAACATTGTGGTGTTATGCGTGAACTCGTAAGTGTGTTCTTTTGCTAATCCGAGCCAACTTCGGTGTTTACAGCTTAAATTAATTCATTTGTAGACAGGCTACATCCTCTGCAGACTTATTAGTCGTTCCACAGCTCTTCTCACTGTGTATTTATCCAGTCTGACAGGTTATGGGATCCACCACTGCTTTGCCCGCAGTATGATGGACCCGGAGGCCCAGCCCACAGCTTTGTGCCACACCGACTACTACACCATGGCTGGCATTGCTGTGGCCACATGCTTGGCTCTTTGCCCTGCAGTGGGGCTGATGGGTCGGCGTGGAGGACTGCTCACCTTCATGATTATAACAGCTCTGGCATCGCTGCTGCAGCTGGGTCTGCTCAACTGTGAGTAAACACTTATCCCCAGGCATGGACTTTGAAGTTGCTATGGAAACTAGGAAAGTGGGCTTTGATTGATTGACAGAGCAATACTGATGTGAGATAACCGAATCTAATCAACCAAGAAGCTTTTAGTGGATGTTTACGCTCCAGCATATAAGAGCATTCATCCAGGTTTCTAAAGTACTGTTAATATTTTTACAAATAATATTTTGAGAGATTGCTTAAAAGTCAGCACCACTGTGCAAGCAGATGTCTCCTGTCACTAAATGCTCCCTCGGGAGGAGGGAATTCTGCAAAGTCAATGCATTTAGATAAGTTTCATTAGGTAGAAACCTTCTAACATTCTGCCTGCATGATTTGATCGGATCGACTGTAAATTGCATGGGCTATATGAATAACTGAACTGAAATAAATTTAAAAAGATCCTTGATGACCAGTGGAAAAGGTCTTGGGGAGGATTCTTATCAAGAGCAACACCAAATTATTATAATACCCACAATCACTTTATGTTTTCCAACAGATAAGGACTTAAAATACCCTTGCTCTGTTAAATTTGGGCCAAAATTTCAGTTACATAAAACCTCAGTTTATCTTAAAACAAATATAGACAGTATAAACAAATTATACTGTTACTTAAAAAGCTTTTTCTAGTACCTGGGTAAATATCCCTAAAAATCACAGCCCGTCATTTCACAGTTATACATCTGTAACTACAGACTATTTTATAGCAATTACTTTCCTGAGGTTACAGGTTTGTTTTCAAGATTTAATTGGACTTTCTGGAATTATTATTAAGTGATTCGGAAATTCCACAAACTTCCAGATTAAAAAGTCAAAAGCCAGTAATTCAGCTTGGTGTCTGAAGCTATAAGGTCAGTTCTGAAAACTACCTTGTAGTTTCTTGAAAAAAAAGTTTTAGAGTCATGAATGTTGTAATGCTGACTATCAATGTATCAGAGAGCGTGTTTAAGGTGCATAAGCACTGTGGTGATAGCAGAGATATTTGAAAGTTTTTACTGTGTAATAAACCTTTTTACATAACATTTTTAGTTACCGGGTTTCATTGTTTTGCTTTGAAAGCAAAAATAAAATGCAAAGTAATGCATAAAGACTGACACTTCATGAGTTCATTCTTCTCTGATTTTAAAGGGAAATGCCCTTTTTTCTTTTTTTTTACATTGGCCCCTTGATTTTACGTTATTACATCATGTTCTACTCCCCCATTTAAGACACATAGCTTGTGTCCCTTGATCACTTAAACACACTTTTGGATTTAGTAATGTTAAATTTAATTTGAATATTGAATCTTATATTGAACAGAAACTGGATGATGAAACACACTTTAAATGTGGTGAAACATTAAAACAACACAGATTGCACTTCAAATATGTGCAGAACATAGACATTATTTATTGTCCTGCACAGGATTCCCTGAATGGCTTTTTTTATTTAGCTTGTTCTGAGTCAGCACTCTTCTGCCCCGTTCTGCAGACTAATGAACTGCTCTCCTTTCTTTTCCTTTCTTCACTGCTCACTAATGGAATCCAGTGATTGGAAAGTACAGCCTCCGCCATGACACAGGTACTGCTGCTGTTACCGTAATCTGCACCTTAAAACTTTTTTCCTCATTAGATCTCTTTCTTTGCTGACAGCGCCTTGTTTGTTTCTTTGATTTCTTTTTGGACAGTCCTTCGAGACACTTTGAACAGAAAATTCTCAGTTGCCTTCTCCATCATCGGCATGTTCTCCTCTCATGCCGTCAGCACACTCAGCATTTTCTTTTGTGCTGAAATCACTCCAACTGTCATCAGGTGAGTCCTCACACAGCTGTTGGTTCAAAGCAAACCTTGATGTATTTTAATCAACAGCTCAGTATAGTATTGTTCTAATGGTAACATTTTAATGAAGGGTAACAGCTCCCTCTGGTGGTCAAGTTTCCCACTGGGAAGCAGTTAATCTTTGGTAACTTCAAAAGGTTTTATTCAGGAAACATAGATCATCTTTAAAAAAAACATTGAGCTTTGCATTCTGTTTTATTTTATAGGTAAAATTAGAAAATATGACTTAAAATATATGACAAAAAAATAAACATTTGCTACTGAAACAAAAATAGATATCACTGATAATTTCCTGCTTTTCATGTCAGTCGGTTTTACATCTAAACCCTAAAACATTTTCTATGATTTCAACTAACGCTTTTATCTCAGAGCCATTTGCAGTGGAGTTTGTCTCTAACAGCCCCTTAAGGTGTTGAATAAAATCCAGTATATCAATCCTGAATAAAAGCACCTGTTTTTGGTTGCATTGTTGTGTTTATTTAGACATTTAAAGCTAAATCTAACTGCTTTTTTTTGACACAGAAAAGAGTAAATTATCAATGATGCTGCCGTATCATAACATTTTATCCCTAACATTTACACACCATCATCTTAAACATTGTTAAACAAATTAAGCCATAAAATTAAAGAAAATGTAGCTAAATAAAATGCTAAAAACAGTGATGGGTTTTTCAATTTAATCGTCCACACCATGACTGTCCTTTGGAGAAACATTTTTCTTTGTTGTAAACAAGGAAATGATATACAAACCTTTTTATCTTCTTTCACCACCTTATTTCTAATTAAACTACTTTCTAACTCTCTATCATGAGTTAAAAAATAATTAGCGTCAAACATTGTTATTTTATTCTCTCATGAAAGGCAAACTTTTTATTAGATATTTTATCTGTGTGCAACCCTATTTTGAATACTTGGGTGATCTTGAAATGCACTTCATTTATTGTAACATAAGTAAAAACATGGACTGGCGACCTGTCCAGGGTGTACCCCACCTCTCACCCATTAACTGCTGGAGATAGGCACCAGCACCCCACGCTACCCCACTTGGGACAAGCGTGTAAGATAATAGATGGATGGATGAAGTAAAAACATCCTTTAACGCATAAACAATAACGTTTTTTAAATGAAATAATCATTTAATTTTGTAGGACTTAATTTAACAAACATATATTCTGCAGTTTCAAAGGCTTGAAAGGTGCTTAATTGATAACAATTACATGGGAGCAGATGGAAGAATAGAGTGACACGTTTACATGGACTACATAGCTCTTATTTGCATAAAGGAGTTATTATTAGAATTAGCTAAGTAAAATAAAAATAAATGTTAATTATAGTCTGTTTCCAGAAATACATTCTAGTTTTTTAGAGTCATGTCATTAATTTGGAAGATTGCATTAGATTTAAACTTTAAAATGCATTTATTTGCATGTGAGTTGTGCTACACAATTTTTATATACAGGAAAATATGAAAACTAGAAGAGCGGATTGATCTGTTCCTCCCATCTTGTTAGGACATGACATGATGCGATCATTCCCTCTGGAATGGAAGGAACGTTTTACTTCGCAATGCTTTAGAGTGTCTTTCATGAGCTAAAATGTAGAAATAATCCTGTTGACGGTTAAACTAATTGTTAAACAATGCATTTTATGAGAGAGGTCCTCATACAACTCTTTTCATTTTTGATAGAATACTGATATTGCAAGTGTGAGTATTGACCAGTACAGATATTGACCCCATATGATACCAGCATACATACTTTTATTAATTGTTTCGCAGTGTGGAATGTTAAAAAAGGCTTAATCAAGTGATGTTACCTAAACAGAGAATTATGAGAACAACTGAACCATTTGGTAATTAACAAAACAGCAGCACAAACTTTTAGCTTGAACATAAGAGAATTCTAGTGAAGAAAAACAAAAAAATGAAAAGATGAAGATAATAATGAATAATGAAGTTTTATATTCAGCTGCTGTTACGTTCGCTCTATTAGCAGGATACAAGCATTACAGCCTGTTTTTTTTTAAACTTGCTTTTATTCTGCTTTTTTCAGGTATAATTGTTTTATTTGTTTTACAAATGTTTTTGCTTTTATTCTGCTTTTATTTTTCTATTTTATCATCAAATTCATGTAAAGCACGTTGAATTGTCCACGTACTGAATTGTGATATACAGATAATATTGCTTTGCCTTTCCTTACTGGATAAGCCTTGTTAGTAATCAGACCGATTTCAAATATCTGATAAATTAAAATTTATGGGGTTTAGGTTGTTTGACTATTTTAAATAACATTTTATACACCTTTATTGTCATTTTGTTTCAGAGAAAATGTAATATAAATATATTTTTACAGATCACACAGAAAATGTCTCTTCAATTTCAGAACAGCCAAAAAAAATAAAGAAAAAAAGCAGGATTCTTTCAGACTTGTGGCCTGTAGTGTGTAGCAACAGGTAGGCGAGGGGCAGCACTGCTCCAAGAAGTTTACTTTAAATGTAAAAATCTGTACAATAGCAAATGTGAACAGCTCCAGAACTTTTTCAGTTCTTTGGTCTGTTCTGATACCAGTAACCATCTGAGGCCTAAACCTTCTTTTAACAGCAAACTTATTAGCCTAATTGATTTATTTTTTTGAAGGTATAACTGTCAGAAATTTCAAATTAAACTAATCCCATATCCTTCTACCTGAGGTGGTAAAAGAAATCCTGTCTAAAAATGTATTAATGAATCTATTATGATGCAATAAAGATAAAGTGGTCCTCTATATTATTTAAACTCCTGGGTAAGTGTCCCAAAAATTTTTGTTTCAGTTAACTGGATTTCTTTTTGCTTTGTGCAGGGGTGGAGGTCTGGGCCTCGTCCTGGCTAGTGCCGGCTTCGGGATGCTCACTGCCCCCATCATGGAGCTACACAACCAAAAGGGCTACTTCCTGCATCATGTGATCTTTGCCTGCTGCACCCTGCTCTGCATCATCTGCCTGCTGCTGCTGCCGGAGCCGCGTGGCCAGCCGCTGCCAGAGAGCCTGGTGGACGGTGAGACCTTCACCCGTCAGACGCTGCTCCATCCTGGGGAGCAGCATCTGCTCCTCGTCAAATATGAGAGGGACTACTCCCGTGTCCACGACACGCCATTACATCTCACAGCCACAGGGGGCACCACGGCGGCAGTCGCCACCGCTCTGGCAGCGGTGCCTGCCTCGTACTCTCTGGCAACAGGTGGTGAGGTGATAGGTAATTGTGCCATTGCCAATGGGGTATGAGCATCACAGCAATAGTCTTCTACTGTGCAAAAAAAAAAAAACTGATGCAGCGGTAACCAGATGTAAAATGTGATTAAAGTGTTCGGATAAACCAGATGAACTGCTGTTATACTGTAGTGAGGTTTGAGATGATGACATTATTTGCAAGTTAGGCTACTTTTTAGTGACAATGACTCATTCAGGAGTTGCCAAAAATATTGTAAGGGCCAAGTTTGTCTGGAGCCCAGAGTGTGAGGAGGGTTTGTTTTTTACAGGCATGTAGACCAGCAGCTGATCAGTTTGACTTGTTGAAACGTTATAATTCTGGATCCATTAGAGCGGGCCTAAATAGTTCTTAGGTGTGAAGAACTATTTCTGCTCCCTTCTTTTTGTTGGTCATGGATAACCTTAGTAAATACAAACAGCCTTTTTCAATAATGATTTAGTTTATTAACTAAAATAAGATCTTATCTAACCAGCAGGGGTTTGTGTAAAAAAGCATTTGCCCCTTAAATGCCATAGTAGTTCATAATTGCATAGGAGTGATTTATAGAGATGAGGAGGAATTTTGGCCCATTTTTCTCTGCAGATTATTGTAAATTCAGCCAAGCATCAAATACATATTTAGAGCTGTACCACAGTAACTACGTCAAACTGTAAGGGTTTCAATAGGTCACTCAGAAAGTGAGATCCTGTGTTTTGAGTTGAGCCTCTGCTTCAACAGGCCCAGCTCAAACATTAGCTCTTTAGTAGAGCTAGTGAGATAGTTTAGCTGTTTGATTCAGGAGTGTAAGGCAAGGTACACCTGCCCTTAAAGATTTCAGTTTGAAGCCGCCGTTCGAGACAGATGTCTGGACGTCTGTTAACGATGTTCAATTCTAGTAGAAATCAGTCATGATTTAATTAATAGGTCCAAATCCTGAAGCAGCAGAGCTTGAAACATTTCATTTTTGGTCTTCTTGAAAATCATTTAGAATAATATAGACCAGAGGTCTTCCAACAGGGGGTCCATGGAGGTACTGTATGGGGGTCACGAATGTTTTGGTTGATTAGTCTTTTTTTTTTATATTCCCCCCTGCAGTTATTTCCTCCAATTGAAATGTCTTTAAATACAAATTAACATGAATTCAACAGACTGTAGTAAACAGATAAATGGAGGCAGAAGATGTCTTTCAGTCATCAATGCACACATTCAGCGACACACAGGAGCTCTTTCAAGCTGGGCACCGTTTTACTCACAACACCTGTCCCATCAACCACCAGCAATCAGAAACACTTTAATAATCCCAGGACGAAATTACTTCGGTTACATTTCTCCATATGCAATAAAGTGACTATAGGACCAGTTTGATATAACACAATTTCATACAATATATATAATTACAGGCTCCCCGCTCCATTTCGCCATCAGTTTGGTGATCCTTGGCCTGGAAAACTTTGAAGACCCCTGATTTAGATGATTTTTTGAAGAATGTGTGATTAGCCTGTTTCTGTAATTTTCGGTCAGCAGTGTGAACCCTTCCTGATAGATTTTCTCTCCCTATAATTGACCTGCCTCTCCTGGGAAGGTCAACCAATGCTCCATGTTTTCTCTGTTTGCTGGTGTCCCTTAGAAATGGCGATCTGATCATGATTTTCTATAGATTGGGCCATGATGTGCTATTCTTCTAGTCTCCTTCATGCTTTCAGACTTTTAAGTCTGAAACTGAAGTTAGTTTCACAAAAATGTATTTAACTTAGACAACTTTTAGACAATTAGTGATGACATCATCGAAAAAGGTGTATTTTACTCAGGTTATCTGTGATATTGATTTTAAAATTCAAGTGTGATACAAATGCAAAAAGCTGAAGAAATCTGTAAAGAGGCAGACGCGTTCACAGCAGAGTATGTCCTAATTATTTTTGCACTAATTGTCAAAGACGCAATCAAGTGTTTGTGAATTTTTTGCCAACATGTTGGAAGACCAGACTTATTTCTTTTTAGGGAAAGGGCATAAGGTTTTTACATATACGTTTACCCTTCCTTTATTCTTTTGCGTTCTCTAACTGAAGTCCCTTTATGGCACTTTATCCTGAGAGGTGCGGTCAGTGTAGACGCTCTTTAAACATGACCACTGTCAGGGGGGGGGGCGTATGATAGTTTTGGGACGTTACGAGCAGCCGGAGAGCACGGCAGATTTTTACACGTAGCCTTTAGAGACTTTAGGAGACAAATCTGAGAGCTGAATGGATATCAGGGCAGCGTTCTGCTGCATGTCTAAATGATGTATCTCAGCTTTTTTTAATTGCTTTATCTCAATGGCTCTGGCTTTTTTATTTTACAGATCAAAGAGGAGCTGTAGACATGACAGTATTTATTTTCTAATGTCGCCAAGAGCAAAGTTGTTGCTTGAATTACCTCCTTAATTAGCAATTATTTCCACTCCAGTCGTCACTGTTCGTTCACTGTACTTTTATCGTTATAATCCTGTTGTTTCCATGTTTAACATTAGACAGAAAGCACAATAACTTACTGTTATTCAAATAAAAATGTGTGAAGATTAGAGCACAGCTGCGTAGATCTGGCTCAGTTGTTAACTGTGAACATTTATACTATGTGAATACACAGTAGGATTTGTACATGTGCCATTTATTCATAATGTGTGGATTACGATCACCACAGGTTTAGAAGCATATTGACTAGATGAACCAGGTAACTTATCCATCCGGACAACAATTCAAACCATCTAAGTGTTGTATGACTCACTGGTTTGTATGTTTAACAGGTAAATCAACAAAAAAACAAAACAAAAAAAAAGACTCAGTCTCTAATGCTGTTTTCTAAGTGTTATTTTTTTAATAAGATGCATTTGTACAAAAAGCCATAGGCATACATGTTTTGATAATAAACCACTTAATTTATTCTGTCAATAAAAAGAACAGTGGATGTTATCGTTTGTGTGTGTTGGGAGTTTCAATGGGAGAAACAGGAACTGTAAGGTAAGGGGATGTCCCGTGTGTTTTAAAAGTTCTCAGGGTGAAGCTCCAGCTCCTTTTTGATCCGGTTTTCCACCAACAAGCTTAGGCTGGAGTCGGTCATGGGTAGACTGTAACTCACAAATACTTGCTTTTGGGTCCTTTTTGCTGTGAAGGAAAGCAGATAAATCTGTGATTAGTTTATTAGACTGATTAGCTTTCCAAAAAACATATGAACACTGAGGAAATTAGCAGATTTTAAATTTATAATGTTAAAGACATTTGGAAATGGGACCTAAGTTTAGAGGTAATTAACAAAGGTGTCACTGAAAGAAGAAAATGTGAGCTGTTTAGGCAGTAGAATAGGAGGCAGATCTTTTAGTTATCAGGCTCCTCTCCTGTGGAACCAACTACCAGTTTTAGTCCGTGAGGCAGACACCCTGCCTAATTTTAAGGCTAGGCTTAAAACTTTCCTTTTTTGATAAAGCCTATAGCTAGAGTGGCTCAGGTTATCCTGAGCTATCTCTATAGTTATGCTGCTATAGGCTTAGCCTGCTGGAGGACATAGGGACCCCTATTTCGTCATTCTGCTTCATTCCATCTCTATTCTCCCACTCTGCTGAATCTGTTAGTTCAATCTCTGACTTTATGCTCTCTGTTTTTACCTGTTTTCACCTCTTCTGTTCCTGTTTGGTTGTGACCCCATCCTGGAGAAAAATATCAGCTGTTCTTCTGCCATCAACACCTTTGTTTATAGATGTTGGAGATCGGCCTGTTTTTTAGTGTAGTCCTGTTTCTCATAGCTCGTCTGCCTGGCTGTGTGTTTCCTGGATGGGACCGCCTTTCATTGCTGCTTTCTGTATCACTGCTTCTGTCTCCTTGAACCCCAGTCGGCCCCAGCAGATGGCCTCTCACACTAAGCCTGGTTCTGTTGGAGGTTTCTTCCTGTTAAAACAGTTTTTCCTCTCCACCTTCGCTACAAGCATGCTTAGTTTGAGGGATTGCATTAGAGTCGATGCAATCAACTGGTTTTTCTTAGATAGAAAACTTTGAATCAGTTTTACTGTATGATCTGGTGAAATGTGTTGAAAATTGGCGCTATAAAAACAAACTGAATTGAATTGCACTTTCATAATGATAATTGAAATTTATTGAACTTGCATTGGAGAACTTAACCTCTGCATTTAACCTATCCCTTTGGGGAGCAGTGGGCTGCCATTGTGCGGCGCCCATGGAGCACTGTGTGGTTAAGGGTCTTGCTCAGGGACCCAGGTGGCAGGCAGTGAGGATGGAACCAGATACTTGCAACCTTCTCAGGTTGCTCTAACCCACTAGGTCCCTTTCACTTTTGACAAAATGAAAACACAGCCGTTGCAAATTCAGCCAATAATTACCCTGCACCACTCCATGATTAAATATCACGTCTATTCATAGAAAAATAAACATTGTGATAAAGCAAAAACTGAAAATATCCCTTACCTAACCTCTGTGCCAAAGAGTTAGCAGCAGTATTAGACGGATCCCCCATCACTAGTGTAGATAACGGCATTGAATCCTGAAAGTAATAATGGAGAAACATTTAACGATGTTTTAGGACTACCTGCGACATGCGGGAACATGGCAAATAAGTTAGCTAATTTACTCACGTATCTGCTGCTCATAGAAACCGCCAGATTGGACAGAACCGGAGCCGAACCGACCCACAGGAAGAAGCCGCCGTCCAGCTTCATCACGTGGAAGTGGACGACCTGCTCCAGAATCTTGTCGGAGAAATTATGCACCGAAATCCCTCTAAAGTCTGAACCATTCAGCATCTCAGTCATCCTGACGCGCTTTCTAATGCTAACATTTAAAACGGACACTTCCTGGTTGGAGGAGAATGGCAGACTAAAGCAATCGATCTGAGATGGAACGATCAAACATCACAGGAGACTGATTGAACTTGGAAAACAATCGTGAGCAATACAATAAAATGTATGAGTGTTCTTTTCTTACCATAACTGTGTTTTTTTTTTTTTTACTGCAAATAACAGTTTCTCTCTCTCTTTTTTTTATTTAACAAAATTGAACTATCACCAAATGTTATTCAGAAAATGTTCTTTAATCTTGTATTGAACTGATCTAAATCAATGGACTGACTAACAATAGTCAGAAATTCTAGTTTGTTATTGTAGAAGACTTTGATCTTGGCTAGAGAATGGTGTCCAGGGTCAAACATTTCTAGCAGCGACAATTTCCCCATTTTCAGATATATTCTTCCCCCTTTTTTGTCACACTTTAATGTTTATGATGATCAAATAAAATTGATGATCACATATATTATTTTATACATATATTTATTTATACATCATTAAATAAAAAAGATTAAGTAAAAACCGTACCGCAATAAAAGAAGTTCCTGTATTCTTTTTATAAAGGAAACATTTGGCCAGATGTATAAAGATAATGGCCCCAAATCAAAACAGCTGACTGTGCTCCTGGTTCTGCTGGAGGTTTCTTGTTGTTAAAAGGGAGTTTTTCCTCTTTACTGTCGCTACAAGCATTCAGTGTGAATGATTGCATGCAATAACTGGTTTTCCTAACATAGAAAACTTTAAATCAATTTGACTGGATGATCTGGTGAACTGTAAAGAGATGACTTGTGTTGTGAATTGGTGCTATATACATAAACTGAATTGAATTGTCATTCACAATGATGTGACTAGTTCCTCTGTTCTTTTGAAAAAAAGTCATTTGCTTACAATGATATAATGTCCTCACTGATGTCTTCAAAAGTTTTTTCAGTATTTCACATCTGCTAATAGTGATGCCATCGCATGAGTATATTGCTGCAACCAACAATTATTTGCAAATCGATTAATCTGTCGATTATTTTTTCGATTCATCGATTAATAACCGGATAGCCAAAGGTCCTTTAAAGATTTTTTACAAAAGTAAATCAGGTGAAACTAAAACTTTCGTACTTTAGGAGTTCCGGATAGAACATATCAACACATTTGTTTATATAATCTTTGACAATTGGTATAATTACTTCAGTAAGTGGGTCGCTGGTCAGCTACAGGCATGTTCTACAGTCTCTATACTCCAGTTAAAGATTAATTGATTATGGAATTAGTTGACGATTATTTAAATAATTGATTCATCAGGATTAATCTGATTAATTGTTCCAGCCCTATTGGAGTGCTTTCTCTCTTCTTTGCTTCAAATGTTTGGTTACATCTTTTTTTATTTTTCCAAATTTTGACATTTAGGAACCAAAAGAAAACTTCTCTCAAAATGTCCTGTTTTTTTAACATTTTCCCTTCTAATTCTGGAGCTTTCCACCCCAATTTAGGAGATGGATAGGATAAAAGGAGATGGTGAGCCATGTTAGCAGAAAATTAGATCAGTTTTAATGGCTGTGAACAGATTGGAAGATCTCCGATTTTTTTTTATTTGTTAAAAAAAGAAGAAAAATAGCAAGACGATTACACAGAAGTGGTTCAGACACAGATTACTGTTTTCAAAGTAAAAAAATAAATGATGAATTGCTTCATTCTTCCAGAAAGTCTTCAACTAGCTTGTTAAATTCCTCAGCATATTTCAGGTGAAGATTATGCTTTCCCTCTGGCATTAAATGCAACCTGGAAAAAAATAAGACAAAAAAATCGTTTCAGCTCATCTTTTGCGATTAAATTAATGTGATAAAGATTTTTGTTTAAAACATCCTCTCACCTTGACCCTTTTATGTTTTTGTGGAGGTAGTGAGGGTGGAAGCTGGGAACCATGGGGTCTTTCTCTCCATGGATGATCAGGGTTGGACAGCTGATCAGTGGGAGAAGCTCCATGCAGATGCTTCCTAAAAAAAATTAAAATAAATAAAGCATAAAAGTATTTATTTTGTTTTCCGTTTTTTACATAAACAAGGGGGAAGTGGTCATTTAAATGATGATATTATTCCTCTGTTACATGGAGTCCTAACCTTCTGGTCTGTTTATAAATTGAGCAATGCCATCCACCCAGCTTTCCCATATTTTAGCGAATTCTTGGGCTCCGTACATTTCCTCCATGGGTTGCCGCATCCTTGCGCTCCACTTGGAGACATCACAGACCACTGGATGTACCCACAAATAAAATGAAAAAAAAACAACAAAAAAAACAGGTAAGAAAGAAATGGCTAGTTTAAAAATCTGCATCATTTCTAGACAATAAAAACTGCTGTACTGTTATAAAGCTTCAGGTCATCCTTGGAAACAAAGGCATTAGATCCCCAGACAACCATCTTATTTATCAGTTCAGGGTTCCTGGCAGCTGCAATCAGAGCAGTGATTCCACCGTCACTCCAACCCAGCAGAGAGAACTTCTTAAAGCCCAGAGTCTGCCAAATACATACAAAAATTAATTACAAACTAAATAACAGACAAAAAAAAAACTCAATCTTCTGTAAAAGACTATGAGAATAAATTTTGAAAAAATATGTATTTTTGTGTTTTACCTTTCGTCATAAGAGTTCATAAATTGTTTTATCATAAAGGCAGCTATTAGAATTTTATATGCCAGGCAGCTAGTGTTCAAGTTGGATTAGAAATCTCACTTTTCAAATCAGAATTACAACTTTTGGAAGTTTTCCAGGGATATTTTAAAGCTTAGAACTGAGAAATCAGAACTTTAATCTGATTAGAACTGGATCAAGTTTAAAAAGACTCATGATGAGAGAAAACATGACACCAGTTTTCTGTCACATATTGGATTAGCTTCAGCATAGATCTTTTTATTAAAATAAATATTCTCTATAAATAGAGATGCAGTTCAATTCTTCCACATAAATCAAGCGGATCATAACAAGCTACTACCCCCCCATCCTGAGCTATCTCTATAGTTATGCTGCTATATGCTTAGACTGCTGGAGGACATAGGGACCCATATTTCATCATTTTGCTTCATTCTATCTCTATTCTTCCACTCTGCAGAATCTATTAGTTTAATCTCTAACGTTATGCTCTCTATGCTTTTTCTCATAGTAGCTACGCCTCTTTTGTTCCTGTTTGGCTGTGACTCCATCCTGGAGAGAACTATCAGCTGTGCTGCTGCCATCAACATCTTTGTTTATAGATGTTGGAGATCGGCCTGTTTTTCCAGTGTCCTGTTTCTCTGACTGTGACTAACTGGATGTGCTCTTTTCATCCTCTGATTTGGGAGCTGGCTCAGAGCTCGTCTGCCTGGCTGTGTGTTTCCTGGACGGGGCCTCCTTTTTGTCTGTCTGCTTCTGTGTCCTTGAACCCAAGTCGGACTCGGCAGATGGCCGCTGACACTGAGCCTGGTTCTGCTGAAGGTTTCTTCCTGTTAAAAGGTATTTTTTCCTCTCCACCGTTGCTGCAAGCATGCTTAGTGTAAGGGATTGCATCCGACTCAATGAGTCGGATGCAATCAACTGGTTTTCCTTAGAAAACTTTGAATCAATTTGACTGTATGATCTAGTGCAGGCATCATCAACCTCGGTCCTCAAGGCCTGCGGTACTGCAGGTTTTAGAGGTTTCCTTGCTCCAGCACAGCTGATTTTAATTGAAAGCTGATTTACAGGCTTTTGGTCTACTGCAGTCATTATAATCAGCTGTGCTAAAGCAGGGAAACCCCTAAAACCTGCAGGACCGCGGGCCTCAAGGACAGAGGTTGGGGATGCCTGATCTAGTGAACTGTAAAGTGCCTTGAGATGACATGTGTTGTGAATTGGTGCTATATAAATAAACTGAATTGAATTGAAATTAAATGCAATGGTGGACATCCTTGTGCTTAAACATGGTGTTCATTATAGACAATCCGTGACTTGCACAAAAGTCCCGTAATGAAACACCATATGGGATCAGAGCTGTGGGGCCATTCCTCCAAATCACACCCCGCCAGGTTGTATTGTTATTATATGTTTAACAGCTCGCCTTCATTAGATCCACTCCATCCTTTGCATCCCTCTCAAAGAAGTCAGCAGGGAAATCTCGATCTGGGGGACGGGACTGTCCATACCCACGCGGGTCCCAGCCAACCACAGTGAAGCTTTCTTTGTTCAGAGACTTTAGCTGAGGACCGAAATCTGTCTTTGTGCTACCTGTTGTGGTAAATTAGGATGTATTTTAGACAAGTTATTGAAACACTTAATTGGAATGGTAAATCTGTATTACTTTGTTTACCTAGAGCACCAGGGAGAAGAAGAATGGCATGTTTCCCTCTTCCTGTTTGCTCATAGTACAGATCAACGCCGTTAACATGTTGCCTGCCAGAGGACATCGAAGAGCTGCAGAAAAACAATGTGCATCAGAAAAAATATAAGGGGAGAGATACTTAAAAAGTGTTTGGTTTAGAAGGCCATAATGATCACAACATGATGACCTGAACCATTTTGTGTGGGGAAAGAAAGAAAGAGAGAAAGATACCATTAAATTTAGAATAAATAAGTAAACCAATCTGAAAGAGTGGCAAATTCAAAAGATCCCATAGGCTAAAGCATGGCATGTGTCAGTTACTTAACTTTTTTTTCCAAAAGATTTGATCAAACCTATCTTCCCCTTTTGTACATGCATTTAAACAAATAGTCACAAATGGTGTCCTTAAGACCAAATTGATTCTTTTTATTTTTCATTGGTAACTTTTTGGGTGTTACAAATGTTAAAAAGAAGCTAAAGTCCAAAGACTTACAAATATTCAGTCATCCTTTTGTTGACACCCCTTTAAAAGATAAACAAAATTCAAAACAGCCATGCGCCCAGCGGCTGCACTCTGGATTAAAGCAGTTAAACATACATCAATGTACCTGCATTCCACTTTTAACTTTTCAAAAACAAGTTTCTATTTGTAAAAGGACATTCGGCTTTGTTTATTTTTCCTTTCGCACAAATGTTTACATACATCCTACTTACAAAGATCGGGTATATAACACAGGATTTCCTAAGAACAATACAGTTAAAAAATAATTTAAGCCCGAAAATAGATGAAAAGTACTACTGGACTCTTTTTTTTTGTATCTGGTTAGATGACATCACTTGGGGATTAGAAATGAAGCTGACCCACTGGAATTTGTAAACATCAAGAATTTTATATGAATTCTGAAGTTATTCCTAAGTCATATGTAAGTTGAACCATTTGAATGAGCTTCTCAGTACCTGGGAAACATGTAGTAGGCCCTTTTCTCTATTTTGGTCTGCACTGCAGAGCAATTTGCCCCAGTCCCTGAAAGGAGGAACTTCCGTCTGCCTGCCTTGTGATGAATGTGAGAAGAAACGCATCTGATGCAGCAATTCTTCAAGAAAAAAATTGGGGCCTGAAAATCATTTTAGCAGAACTTATGTAACCAGCGATAATGCTTTAATAAGGGCTTCGCTCCACAGAAGAGTTAAGGGTCATTCACAAGGCCATCTAGCAAAAACCAGTCTGCCCCACTTCTCTTTACAAACATTTTACTGTTTGATGGTAAAGAGAACTGCTGCTGTTTAATTGTAGGCCTATCTAGTTTCCAATAAATCCACAGTCTTCTAACAGATAGCATACGGTGAAATCGCTCTCGTACAGTTACCAAGGTAATCAACTAAAATACAGCCTTAAACATAAAAAATAAGTGACATTTAGAACATACATACTTCTTGAATCTCCTATCAATAATTTCAAATCCATTTAAGCAGAGTTAGAGGTGCAGGCTTCTCTGTTGTTTTAAACCAATGGGTCACCAACGTGGCTCCTAAGAGTCTTCTGAAAATAGAACAACTTGCCAGTGGTCTAAGTTTGAAATGTTATTTTATTGCTCTTCTTTTATAATCATTTATAGAGAATTTAAAAATGGCATTCTCTAAATTAAATTATGAATTGAAACAATAAAAAATACAGGTGCTGGTCATAAAATTAGAATATCATGAAAAAGTAGATTGATTTCAGTAATTCCATTTAAAAAGTGAAACTTGTATATTATATTCATACATTACATACAAACTCATATATTTCAGATGTTTATTTTGTTTAATTTTGATGATTACAAATGACAACAAATGAAAATCTCAAATTCATCATATCAGAAAATTAGAATATTGTGAAAAGGTTCAAAATTGATGGCCCCTGGTGCCACACTCTAATCAGCTAATTAACTCAAACCACCTGCAAAAGCCTTTAAATGGTCTTTCAGTCTAGTTCTATAGGCTACACAATCATGGGGAAGACTGCTGACTTGACAGTTGTCCAAAAGACGACCATCGACACCTTGCACAAGGAGGGCAAGACACAAAAGGTCATCGCTAAAGAGGCTGGCTGTTCACAGAGCTCAGTGTCCAAGCACATTAATAGAGAGGCGAAGGGAAGGAAAAGATGTGGTCGAAAAAAGTGTACAAGCAAGAGAGATAACCGCACCCTGGAGAGGATTGTGAAACAAAACCCATTCAAAAATGTGGGGGAGATTCACAAAGAGTGGACTGCAGCTGGAGTGAGTGCTTCAAGAACCACCACACACAGACGTATGAAAGACATGGGTTTCTGCTGTCGCATTCCTTGTGTCAAGCCACTCTTGAACCACAGACAGCGTCAGAAGCGTCTTGCCTGGGCTAAAGAGAAACAGGACTGGACTGCTGGTGAGTGGTCCAAAGTCATGTTCTCTGATGAAAGTAAATTTTGCATTTCCTTTGGAAATCAAGGTCCCAGAGTCTGGAGGAAAAGAAGAGAGGCACTTCATCCACGTTGCTTGAAGTCCAGTGTAAAGTTTCCACAGTCAGTGATGGTTTGGGGTGCCATGTCATCTGCTGGTGTTGGTCCATTGTGTTTTCTGAGGTCCAGGGTCAACGCAGCCACATACCAGGAAGTTTTAGAGCACTTCATGCTTCCTGCAGCTGACCAACTTTTTGGAGATGCAGATTTCATTTTCCAACAGGATTTGGCACCTGCACACAGTGCCAAAGCTACCAGTACCTGGTTGAAGGACCATGGTATCCCTGTTCTTAATTGGCCAGCAAACTCTCCTGACCTTAACCCCATAGAAAATCTATGGGGTATTGTGAAGAAGAAGATGCAATACACCAGACCCAACAATTCAGAAGAGCTAAAAGCCACTATTAGAGCAACCTGGGCTATCATAACACCTGAGCAGTGCCACAGACTGATCGACTCCATGCCACGCCGCATTGCTGCAGTAATACAGGCCAAAGGAGGCCCAACTAAATACTGAGTGCTGTACATGCTCATACTTTTCATGTTCATACTTTTCAGTTGGCCAACATTTCTATAAATCCTTTGTTTTTATTGGTCTTCAGTAATATTCTAATTTTCTGATATGATGAATTTGAGATTTTCATTTGTAATCATCAAAATTAAACAAAATAAACATCTGAAATATATGAGTTTGTATGTAATGTATGAATATAATATACAAGTTTCACTTTTTAAATGGAATTACTGAAATCAATCTACTTTTTCATGATATTCTAATTTTATGACCAGCACCTGTATGTTAATAATGTACTGTATTGGTAGCCCTTCCTATGAATCAGTGCCCTTGAAGTGGCCCTCAGCCTTAAATATGCTGGTGACCCGTTTTAAACAGTTAAACAAGAACTAGAAGAATGGCGCCATCTAGTGGACATAAATAAACAGTCGCTGAAGTAAAAACAGAGCCGCGCAGCCAACGAAGGCGCAACTAAAGACCTGTCTGACTGAACTCTTTGTTAAAAAAAAAAAAAGTTTACAGATCCCTGTTCAGTAGATTTAACCATAAACTACTGATCTCAATGCAAACAGTTACCAGTAGAGCCTCGAAGCCTCAACGATCGTCCTCGTTTCTCTGCTGCATTTAAACAAACGCTTTAGAGTCCAAAGAAAGGCCATCTGTCAGTCAGCGGAGCAGCTTCACGTTGGATTGAAGCGGTTAGAAACTGTCCACAGTCCACTCAGTCCGTGGGCTGGATGTAGGTGTTTATTAAGGAAGTGCAGGAGTGGGGCTCACTCTGCACACGTCAGGAGAATTTTGAAGCGAAAGTGCCGGAAAGAACGCAAATGCTTATTTTACTTTAATTCCTTTTTCATTGTAGAAAATCATTTTAAAGATGTGCATTGCCTCAAGTAGTGACAAATGGTAATAATAATAATAATAATAATAATTAATAATAATATTAATAATAATATTAATAATAATAATAATAATCATGCATTTCTTTTAAGTGGAAATTTTAAAATGTTTAGCTCAGTTCCCTTTAATTCATGTTAAGGACACTTCCCAGGTACAGAGAAATTCAAAATGATTTAAACACACTGAAGGTGAAGATAGCATCCAATTATTTATTAAAAGTATTGAGGATTAAATAAATGCAACCAGAAGGTGAGTCTAGCAGTGATTCAAAGATGTACCTCCTCCTCCTCAATGTCTCCCAGTTAGGGGGGAATTCACCATTATGCAATATAAGGCAGTTGCCTATGGCCCCAAGTTTTTGAGGGCCCCATACAACTCTGTTTACATATATAGTTACTACAACTATTCCTGATTTGTGCACATTTATTATGTTTTTGATAAAAATCCAAAAAATCACAATATTCAGCGACTTTTCAGACCCCTACAGCACTTTTATTTCAGAAAAGCGCCTATTGCCAAATCTAGCAACTTTTTTATGCTAATGGCTACATTGGCAACAACATATAAAAGCACCAAACTCTGCTCTCCAAAGCAATACTATGCCTCCTATGTCATGCAAATGGAAAATGGAGAACAGATTAGCAGATCATGGTTTGTTTAAAGTGAAAAGAAGGACTTGATTATTTACTTTTGCCGTCGCCTTTTTGAAAACACAGGAAAGAGCAATCAGCTAAGTGAGTTTAGACAGTATGAAAAGTCAGCTGAGTACAAAACATAGAGGGGAAAACAACAAGAAAAGGGACAAGAAGAGAGGGACAAAACATAGAAAACAGAATGTATGTCTATTCTAATACATTTTCTGTATCAGTATAATGGGTTTGTTTTATGTATTGTCTTCTCAATTCAGAGGCCCCCAGGCCTGTTTTTGCCTAGGGCCCCAAATTTCCTAAATCCGCCCCTACTCCTGGTAAAGATGGATTATAAATGAAATTGATAAAACATTTGTTGATTATTTACCTCCATTTTTGGAGGTAAATAAACTATGTTTGAATAAGCCATTGAAAAACTCCCTTTAATAGAAAGAAACCTCCAGCAGAACCAGGCTCATTATGAGCGGCCATCTACTGAGGCCGACTGGGGTTCAAGGAGATGGAAGCAGATAATGAAATAAGTTATTTTGGTGCTCGGGCCCTGACAGAAGCCGTTCATGCTGTGAATCAACATTCACTTGGATGAGTAACCTAGGAAAATTTGAGTAGTATTTGATTAAAGGCCTGAAAACTGGTGGTGGAATAAGCCAGAGGGTGAGTGGGACTGAGAATAATCTGAGAGTGAGGAAGGAGATGGGGTGGAGGGGAATGAAAGTCCACTTGAGTGCAACTAAATGAAAGGGATCTTGAAAGATGGTTGGCTTTGGAAAAGGTGATTCCCTGAATTGATTGGCTGGAGCTGGTCAAGGGACATTGCAGGTGGTTCAGGTGAACTGATAAGAGTCTTCCACATTGAATTGTCACGTATGCTTCATTAGTAAAACAAAATCAAAGAAATGTAACATGTGGCTAATATGGGGCCTTTCTTTAAAATGGCAGAGTTTAACTGTCCAAGGCTGAAGGGATATCACTAGTGTTTATGTATGTCAAGCTTTGGAAACGCCTGTAGCAAGATTTATAAAACTAGATTTGATTCTATTCAGTGTCATTTGGTGAAACAAATCATTATCTAAAAAGAATAAACACAATGCAAGACAATGGAGGTTGAGAAGTCTTAAGTAATGAAACCATAAACAATAGTCATACATTAAATGGCAAATTAAGTTAATTCAAGGGGAAGAATGCTTTGCCTAGATTTATTTTCAGTCAATTGGAGGACACCACTTCTTGTTAAAATGTGTCTATAATCCTTATAAGTTACCTATAATGTTGGCAAATTCCCACAAGCAAGCAGTATTGGTAGTGATGTGGGAGTTTGTAGGAGAGCTGCTGTCAGTTGGATCGAGTTTGGATATATTCTAAGAGTAGATTGGATGGAAAAACAACTGATCTAGTTGGCTGAAACTAGTTGATTACCGTAGATTAAACAATGTAATGATCAAAATCTGAGCAAGCCACTGGTCACAAATGTAAGGGGTTTTAATTAGTATTGCTTATGGTCTCATTTTTATCTTGCTAGTGGTGTCAGCTGTAACAGATAGACGTCCACTCTTGAGGTTTATGGTTTAAGACCCATCCTAGACTTTTGAAAGTTGCTAAAAAACATGTTTTTTTGGCTTATGTGACAAATTTGTATTGGTTTGCCCATGTACAAATATAGATTGGGTAAAAACACTACCAAAGTTAGATTGGTTGGTTTGACCAAAAGATTGGTTGAATGCATAACTTCCAACCCAATTAAAACCAAAAACTCTTGAAAAACTATTATGTTTGAATATAATGAGTAATACCTTTCGTTTTGTTCATCGATGTCAATTTGCAAAAGCACTTTCACTGCTTATTTCACTAAATTGGCAGAAAAACGGTTTCTCTCTTCTAAGACATTTTACACACAAAAAACTTACAAAAGATTTTATTATGCAGACTAATCATTAACTATTTTAAAGGAAGTGATTTGAGGAAGAAAAAAAAAAAACAAGGAAAACAATTGCCAAAAAATCAGACTATATTACTAACTGTAGTTCTGCATTTCACCAGTAGGTGGTGACACATGTTAACATGAGGCTTCATCTCACCATCACTATCTGCTGTCATGGAAGATGCTGTACAAACAGCATTTCTCGCCTATACTAGATATTATATTTGGAATAACAGTATTGTTTAGTGTAAAAAGCAAAAGCTGGGCCATTTTAGCTGTTGTTTTAATTTCACAACTGATGACAGTTATTGCTTTTCAAAGAATTGATTTCTAAATTTGATATTGCAGTTATAGCAAAGTTATATGAAGATGTTTTTACTGCTGTCCCAAAGAATATTTAACAGCTCCTTATTGGATCTGCTGCTGAGTGTATTATAACAGCTTCTCTTAACAATATTCTTCTGGGAAATGTTAATCTTATAGAAAACAAATGTTCAAATAAATACATCAGAAATCTGTTGGGAAATGCAACGGGTCCTTCTGCTATTTATTTTTGTTCATCTCATTTTAAGGACATTGATTGAAAAAAAGGAGTTAGTGAGTAATACATTTGTCTTTATAATAAAATCTAAGATGTATGTTAGAAGATTATTCAGAAGGTATATCTAGTCAAAAAGACAGTACAAAGATTTATTATTTATATTGAGTACTTGTGTACTTTTTATGAATTAAGCCCAGAGGGTTTTAGGAGCAATTTTGGCTTGAAATTACATGTGTAACTAAATTAAGCATAGCTCCAAAGTTATAATTTGTAAATGTAAAAAACAATATTTGCATGATACAAAGTTATAAAATAATATTTTTCAAGTCAAACCACTATTACAAGCATTATCATTTCTGATTTATAGGAGATCAAACAGAGCAAAAATCAAAATTTTTAAGCCTCACCATTTTCTTTTTTAGATAAACACAGCACAACATCATGAAAACCCTTTTGAAATTCTCGATGAAGCCGCAGAATGTATAGGACCACATCTTGACAATGATTGCAGCAAATTTGGACTGTGTGGGTTTATTTGTTTCACAAAGGTTTTAGTGTTTAGTGCGGCAGGCAGACCTGTACTTTTGGTACAGATGTGCCGAACATGTCCAAAACATTCCAAATATATATATTTTTACTATTATACACAGCATAATATCAATAACCTGAATAGAAAATTAGATTTTTTTCTGATTACAAGATAGGGCCGACTTATTTCCAGCTATACAATAAAAACAGCCAGAAAGGTTGGAGTCCAGAAAGTCTGCCTAGAACACAGAGCACAGTAGTTCTTTACTTGTATTCATGATGGATAAATGTGTCTTTCAGATTGACAGTAAGATGTTTCGGAGAGCTGAAGCCGACCAAAAAGCTTTTTATAATCTTTTTTTTACAGGTTGGATTGAAGCAGAACGTCAAGCTCTTTAATCTGACCGTTCTTTGTTGGTTGCTTTGAATTTTGTTATTTTAATTTTTTATGAAAACCAAATGCTAATGTCAGACACCGAGTAGCCTTATCAGAGGGAATCCAGAGCTTGTGGTTTACTCTCATAGTGATCCCTGACAAATGTGTTTCAGATTCTGTGATGAAAGAAAAAAAAATGTTGCTTGCTCTTTAAAATTACTTTAGTTGTCTATATAGAGCCTATATCTATAAAGGTTTGTTCAATTACTAGTTTAGGGATTGTATCTATTCAGGCCCCCATTTTTACATGATTAATTTAGGAGATAAAGAGTTCTTGTTCTGTTTTTTCTTATATTTCAACTTTTTTCAATATTTTACAGAAAAAAAGTTCACTACCAGATTACTCATATAGAACAAAATAAAAGGAGACCATGAAAAGGCTCCTCTTTAGGAGACTGAAAAAAGTCAGAACCTTCCCATCCAGCTGAAGACATCTATAAGATTAAAGATGTAAAACGAAAAAGAACAGCTGCTGTCTCTGTGCAGATTAGCTGCTGACAGAGCAGAAACGATGGCGCTCTGCCTCGCATTACTGCTGGGCGGATAAAGATTACTCAGCATGAATTAAGTAAAATGGGCCTGATTTAGATGGAGGAACTCTAAAAAATAAAAGATCAGAAAAGGAGATATCACATCCCCATAGATCAAGATCTTTTAGAAATTGATTCTAACACTAGTCTTCCTCTCCTGGTGTAATTTCACTAAATACGGCCCATTTCCTGTCTGTTTGCAGAGTGTTTAGGGCCACATGGAGACAAACATCAAGGAAAAATTTATAAAATTTATTTATAAACTGTATTAGAGACAACCAGAAAGTTGGAGAAGAA